CCCCCGGTCCCCCCGGTCTCTCCCGGTCCCCGCGCCCCCGCCCCGCGCTCACGGCACAGCCCCTGGCTCCGCCAGCGCAGGGGTCTCCCCCGCCGGCCGCACTCCTCGGCGTAGGCGGCCAGGGCCGTGCACAGGCACTCGCAGTCCCCGCCGCTGTCACACCTGGGGCACGCGCCGTGGGACGGGGCCCGGGACCCCCCCTGGGGCGGGGGGAGCCCCCGAGCCCCCCAAACTCACCCGCAGGCGTCGAACACGCACCACTCGTAGAAGCGCTGGGGGGGCACCAGCTCGTGGCAGGGGGCGAAGAGCCCGTGCCGCAGCACCCCGCAGCGAGCCCGCGCCCAGGCCGAGCGCTGGGGGCTGTCCTGGGGGGGGACACCCCGTCAGAGCCCCCGTGTGTCCCCAGGCGAGACCCCGCCACCCCTGCGCCCCCCCCAGCCTCCCCTGCCCCCCAGTGCCCCCCAGTGCCCCCGGCACGGTCTGTGCAGCTCGGGCCGGGGGCTGTCCTGGGGGGGACACCCCGTCAGACCCCCCGTGTGTGTCCCCAGCCGGGCCCCGCTGGCTCCGTGTCCCCCCCGTTGTCCCGGCTCAGGCAGCACCCCCGGAGTGCCGGGACGAGACCCCAGAGGATTTCAGCCGGGACTCAAACGCCTCCTCATCCTCCTCCCGTCCGGATCCGACCCTTCACTGAGCCGGGCCACCACAGCCCCATGTCCTTCTGTAACCCCCATGTCCCCCTGCCAGCTCCTGTGTCCTCCAGTGTCCCCCTGCCAGCTCCCCGTGTCCCGCGGTGTCCCCATCCAGTCCCTGTGTACCCCTGCCAATCCCCCCCTGCCCCCATCCCTCTGTCCCCCTGTCCCCTGTCCCCTGTCCCCTGTCCCCTGTCCCCGTGCCTCGCAGGGGTGCGGGCGGTGGCCGTCGGCCTCGGGGCAGAGCGGGCTGAGGCGCCAGGAGTCCCCGAAGATCTCGGGGGTCGCCTCGAGGGCCCCGTCCCGGCTCCCGAAATCGTTCTCGGCGTCGCCGTCGAAGTTGCCGCAGAGCCCGGCCAGGCGGCCGCGCAGCCGCGGGGACACGCGCACGTACACGCGGGTCCCTGGGGCACCGCGGGGACAGGGCTGGCACCCCGGACCCCGAACGGCACCAGGGACCCTGCACGGTGGCACTGCCGTGGTGGCACCAGGGACCCCGCACGGTGACACCCCCGTGGTGGCACCAGGGACCCCGCACGGTGGCACCACCGTGGTGGCACCGCCAGCGCCAAGGATCCACCACAGCCCCATGTCCTTCTGTAACCCCCATGTCCCCCTGCCAGCTCCTGTGTCCTCCAGTGTCCCCCTGCCAGCTCCCCGTGTCCCGCGGTGTCCCCATCCAGTCCCTGTGTACCCCTGCCAATCCCCCCCTGTCCCCCTGTCCCCTTGTCCCCTGTCCCCCTGTCCCCTGTCCCCTGTCCCCGTGCCTCGCAGGGGTGCGGGCGGTGGCCGTCGGCCTCGGGGCAGAGCGGGCTGAGGCGCCAGGAGTCCCCGAAGATCTCGGGGGTCGCCTCGAGGGCCCCGTCCCGGCTCCCGAAATCGTTCTCGGCGTCGCCGTCGAAGTTGCCGCAGAGCCCGGCCAGGCGGCCGCGCAGCCGCGGGGACACGCGCACGTACACGCGGGTCCCTGGGGCACCGCGGGGACAGGGCTGGCACCCCGGACCCCGAACGGCACCAGGGACCCCGCACGGTGGCACCGCCGTGGTGGCACGAGGGACCCCGCATGGTGACACCCCCGTGGTGGCACCAGGGACCCCGCACGGTGGCACCACCGTGGTGGCACCGCCAGCGCCAAGGATCCCCCACAGCCCCCAGCACTGCGGACCCCCAGCCGTGTGCCCCCGGGTCTCAGCTCTGTCCCACAGCACAGCCACCCCCAGAGACCCCCGTGTCCCCCGGAGTCCCAGCTCCGTCCCACGGCACGGCCACTCCCAAGGACTCCCCGTGTCCCCCCGCGTCCCCTGGGTCTCACCTCTGCCCCCCCCGAGCCCCCGAACACCTTGGGGGGGCGCACGGCCACCCCGTTCACTGTCACCTCTCGCCCTGCCGGGGCGGCACCGAGTGTCACCCCCACGTGTCCCTCCACGTGTCCCCCATGTCCCCGTGTCCCCTCACCCCGCAGCATGTGCACCACGGTGTTCCCCATGGCCACCACCACGGACTTGGTGCAGGTGACGCCGCTGGCCCCGCAGGGGACATTCTCGGCGGTGACAGCGAAGAGCCCGGTGGCCTCGCGCGCCAGCAGGTACTCGCAGTCCCCCGCGAAGGTGAAGGCGCGGCCGTCGAAGGTGACATAGTGCGGGTCCCCCGTGGCCACGCAGGTCCCCGCGCACTCCTCGCGCCCGCAGTGCCACCGCTGGCCCCGGCACACGCTGCGGGGACAGGCTCGGTGCCACCGCGGGGCTCAGCGCGTCCCCGAGGGTCTGGCAGGGGTCTGGGGGGGCCGGGGGTCGCACCAGGTGTTGCAGTCGCGGGCGATGGTGGCGTTGGGCGGGTACAGCTGCCCGCCGTGGTGACAGGGACACTCGTCCGGCGGCACGCAGCGCCCGCCCTGCCACCGGAGCGCGGTGAGGGGGGCTCGGGGGTCCCACCCCCCCAGCCCCCGGGGTGTCACCCACCAGGAAGAGGGTCCCGGGGGGGCACACGCAGCCGTCGGCGGGGCCGCCGCAGGTGCCGGCGGGCTCGGCGGGGTCGCAGCGGCGCAGGCAGGAGCCGGGGGCGTGCAGCAGCCCCGGGGGACAGCGCGGCCCGGGGGGACACGGCGCGGGGGCGCAGCGCCACGACCCCCCTGCGCACACACTGCGGGACCCCCGTCCGTCTGAGACCCCTCGGCGGGGGCCCCCCCCCCCCAAAATCCCACCGCACCCCTCCCTGGGGTCACCACCCCCTTCTCCAGCACCCTCCAACCCTCCGAGCCCCCCTCATCAGTGCCCCCCAAGCCCCAGCCCCACATTCCTCTGAGACCCCCATGCCGCCCCTGCGCCCCCATCCCCCTGCGCCCCCATCCCACCGAGGGCCCCTAACGGGGTCCCCCCGCCCCCCGCTTTGCCGCGGTCCCCTCGCTGTCCCCACGGTGGGACAGGGGACGAAAGCCCCTCCGTCCCGCGGGTGTCACACCGGGCTGCAGGGGGTTTCATCACGTGTCACCGACACACTCTGCCGGGCTCCCCCGTCCTGTGGGTGACCCTCCAGCACCCCGAACCTCCCCGCGACCCCCAGACTGCCCCGGGACCCACCAGGCCTGGCAGCCGCGGCGGATGCGGGCGCCGGGCGGGTACAGGCGGGCGCCGCGGGGGCACGGGCAGGTGGCGGGGGGCACACACTGCCCCCCCGGGGCCAGCAGCAGCCCCGGGGGGCAGCGGCAGCCGGGGACGCACAGGGTGTCCGGGGGGGGACAGTCACTGGCTCCGGGGGGCTCCGGGCAGGAGCGGCCGCAGGGACCCCCGCAGTCCTGGTACTGCTGCCCCCCGGGACACGGCTCCTCTGGGGGGACACGGGGGGTCACCGGGGGGCAGATGCCACCTGAGCCCGTCCCCATCCTGTCCCATCCCATCCCCATCCCATCCCAATACTGAACACATCCCATCCCTTCCCTATTCCCATTCCCATTCCCATTCCCATCCCATCCCATCCTGTCCCGTTCTGTCCCATCCTGTCCCATCCCCATCCCGTCCTGATACTGAGCACATCCCATCCCGTCCCCATTCCCATTCCCATTCCCATTCCCATTCCCATTCCCATCCCATCCCACCCTACCCCATCCCATCCCATCCCATCCCATCCCATCCCCATTCCATCCCCATCCTGTCCCGTTCTGTCCCATCCTGTCCCATCCCCATCCCGTCCTGATACTGAGCACATCCCATCCCGTCCCCATTCCCATTCCCATTCCCATTCCCATTCCATCCCATCCCCATCCCATCCCGTCCTGATACCAAACACATCCCATTCTGTCCCTATCCCATCCCCATCCCCATTCCCACTCCATCCCCATTCCCACCCCATTGATTCCATCCCATCTCATCTCATTGATCCCATCCCACCTCATGCCCATTCACACCCTATCCCACCCCACTGATCCCATCCCATCCCATCCCATCCCATGGATCCCATCCCATCCCATCCCATCCCACTATCCCATCCCACCCCATGCCCATTCCCACCCCATCCCATCCTCCCATCCCACTGATTCCATCCCATCCCACTGATCCCATCCCATTGTCCCATTATCACATCTCATTATCCCATCCCATCATCCCGTTATCCCGTTATCCCGTTATCCCACGGATCCCATCCCACCGCAGAGGCTCCGGTTCCTCCACTCCAGCTCCGTCCCCTCCCGGGCGCACTCCCGGCCGTAGGCGCCCAGCGCGGGGCACGGGCAGCGCTCCCGCTGCCTCTCCCGGCAGGAGCACACGTCCCAGCGGCACAGCTCCAGGAAGGGCTCGGGATCCACCACGCGGTGACACGGCTGGAAGGCCGGGCCCATCAGCACGGCGCAGGCGGCCTCGGCGCGCTCCCGGCTCCCGGGGAAGCCGTCGCAGGGGTCGGGAATGCCGGGGCCCAGCGCCGGGCACGCTCCGGCCGCCCGGAAGGCGTTGGCGAAGGCGGCGACTCCCGGCTCCACGTCCCCCTCCGGCGTCGTGAAGTCGTCGCGCCGGTCCCCGTTGAAGGTTCCGCAGAGTCCCCGCACCTGCCGGAGCAGGGCAGGACCCGGCACAGCCTCATCCCAGGGTCTCCAGCCCGGCACAGCCTCATCCCAGGGTCTCCAGCCCCACAGCCTCATCCCACCGGCTCCAGCCCGGCACAGCCTCATCCCAGGGTCTCCAGCCCCACAGCCTGATCCCATGGTCTCCAGCCCCACAGCCTCATCCCACCGGCTCCAGCCCGGAGCAGGGCAGAGCCGGCACAGCCTCATCCCAGCGGCTCCATCCCCGCGGCTCCGTCCCGCTGGCGCGTCCCGCGGCTCCCCGCGGTCCCGCTCACCGTGCCGGCCATGGCGGGCTGGAGGGTGACGAAGGTGTCGGGGGTCCCCAGGCCCCAGAGCAGGTGGGCGTCGGGCAGCTGCAGGTGCAGGAAGGCCGAGGACGCGCGGCGGATGCTCAGCTCGGCCCCGGAGAAGGGCAGCGTCACCTCCCGGCCGGCCACTGTCACCTCCCCTGAGGACGACAGCAGCGGCTCCGTGGGGCGGCCACCGGCACGGGGCCCGTCCGTGGGAACACCAGGGACGGGCGCTGGAGCGGCTCCCGCTGCCACGGAGACTCGGGCATGGCACCGGGGTGTCACCGCCCCCGTGGGCACAGGGGGATGGGCACAGGGATGAGACCCGCTGCCACAGGGACACTGGGGACAGGCCCTGGGGCGGCTGCCACAACACCACGGGGTCTGAGGACGGTGCCAGTCCCGGTCCCGGTCCCGGTCCTGTCCAGACGTGTCACCTGTGCCGTGCAGCCGGGCCGTGGTGCGGCTGGTGGTGACGGTGAGGCTGCGGGGACAGCCCAGCGGCCGCGGGCTGTCACACGGCTCGTGCTCGGCTGTGATCAGCAGCCGCCCCGCCACGAAGTCCTGGGGACAGAGACAGGTGACACCCCCGGCAGAGCCCTGCCACCGCGGCCACCGCGGCCAGCTCCCCATCGCCCCCCGCCACCCCCACGGCCACCGCGGCCACGTCCCCGCCACCAGCACAACGCCACGGCCACTACCAGAGCGCCGCCCCGTCACCACCCGGCCACCGCCGATGTCGCCGTGTCCCCTCACCTCCACCAGGGTGTGGGCGCAGGCGGCCGGCAGGGAGAAGCGGCGGCGGTCGAAGGTGACAAAGTGACGTCCCCCCAGCACCGCGCACTCGGCCGGGCAGCGCTGCTGGTCACAGCGCCAGCGGCCGCCCTCGCACGTGCTGGGGACACCGGCGACACCGGTCAGCGGGGGAGGGGGGACAATGCAGGGGACCCCGGGGTAACGCGGGGACACCGCGGGGGACTCCAGACTGGGGGACACGTGGCAGGGGACACTGAGACAGCAGGGGACATCACAAGGGACCTGGGGCAAAGGGGAACACTCTACAGGAACCCCGGGCCGAGGGGACACCGTGGAGGACACCAGGAGGGGGGGACACGCCAAAGGGGACCCTGCCCATCAGCGGGCCCCCCGCAGTGGGTGCCAGCCCGGTGTCCCCGCTGTCACCGCGGTGCCACCCACCAGCGGTTGCAGCGCTGGCGGATGCTCTGGCCGGGCTCGTAGCGCTGTCGCCGGTGGTGGCAGGGGCAGGCGGCCGGGGGGACACAGCGCGCCCCGTCCCGGGCCAGCCCCGGGCCGCACTCGCAGCCGCCGTGGCAGTGGCGGTGGCAGGTCCCCTGCTCGGCGCTGCCCGCGGTGACACAGGTGGCCGGGCACAGCGACACGCAGTCGGAGAAGCGCTGCCCCGCGTCGCAGCGGCGCTCTGCGGAGAGGCGACACCGCGGTGGCACCGGCGGCACCCCGGGGGGGTCGGGGAGGGGACACGCCAGCTCCTACCGCAGAAACCGGGATGGCGCCAGGGGACATCGACCTGGCGGCGGGAGCACTCCCGGGCGTAGGCGGCGAAGGTGGCGCAGGCGGCGGGGGGCGGGGGACCGGGGGGTGACAGGGGACCGGGGGTTGGCAGGGGGCCGGGAGATGGCAGGGGGCCGGGGGGTGACAGGGGGTCCCCGTCCCCGCACAGCAGTGCCACACACGCTGCATAGAACCCGCTGGGGTCCACCTGGGGGGTGGAGCAGCAGTGAGAATCCTCCCAGACCCCCCAGAACGTCCCAGAAGACCCCAGAAGACCCCAGGAGCTCCCTCCGGAGGAGCCCCCTGGATTTCCCAGACCTCCCAGGCGCTCCCGGGATCCCCAGGACACCCCAGGACTCCTGACCCCGCTGACCCCCTGGGATCCTGCAGAACCCCACAGAAGTTCCAAAACTCGCCAGGACTCTCTGGAATCCCCTGGGACCCTCCCAAACCCCCCAGAGGCCCCTGGGAGCCCCCAGGACATCCCAGAACAACTCTGGGATCCCCAGAACTCCCAGGAGCCTCCCGGTACTTCCCGGGACAGCCCTGGCACCTCGTGGATCCCCCAGAACATTCCAGAACCTTTCAGAACCCACCGAGACGCCCCCCGGGACACCCCGAGCCCCCCGGCCCCCCGGTGCCGCTGACCTCGCCGTGGCACTGCCGGAAGGGCTGGGCCAGCAGCCGCCCGCACGTGGCCACCGCCGCCGCCACCTCGCCGGGGCCACACCTGCTGCCACCCTCGGGCACGTCCCTGCACGGGGGCTGAGCCGGGGGTCCCTCAGCGCGGGGGCCACCCCCGGGGACCCCCAGACGAGCACGGGTGTCACCCTGGCCCCTCGGGTACCTCCGTGCCGGCCGCCGGCACCTTCCAGGCGTTGCCAAAGGCGGCGGCGATGGCAGCGATGTCCCCGTCGGGGAGCAGGAAGTCATCTGGGGGCACAGGCAGGCTGGGGGCACGGCGGGTGTCCCCCGGCCCCCCGGGGGGCGGGGGTGGCACCGGGCGTGTGGGACTCACCTGCGGGGTCGTCGGTGTAGGTGCCACAGAGCCCCCAGGTGGCACCGCGCAGCTCGGGCTCCGCTGTCACTGTCACTGCCAGCTCCCCGTCCCAGGCCACCCGCACGCCCAGGCTGCTGGCCACGGCCACCCAGTCACCCGGCCAGGTGACACCGAGCCCTGTGCAAGGGATGGGGCGGGATGGGGACAGCATGGGGACAGGATGGGGACAGGGATCCCAGTGGCAGCTGGTTATCACCGTGTCTGGCACTTCCTGATGGCACGGGGCTCATCCTCGCCCTGCCCCCGCCTGGTGGCCTTGGGGACCTCACCTTTGTGCAGGTAGGGGCGTCCCTCCGGCACTGCTGCCCCGTTCACCGACACGTTCCGTCCCTGGGCCACCACCGTGTCCGTCCCGAAGGTCATGTGCAGCACCTGTGGCAGGGGTGGCACTGGGACACTCAGGTGTGCCGGGGACAGTGGGCATGGGGACGGGACACTCATGGTCACCGGGGATGGAGCCATGGGTGTGCCAGCCCAGGCCCCGTCCCAAACTCCATCCCAGGTCCCAAATCATCCCAGCCCCAAAACCCATTCCAGCTCCCATCCCAGCTGCCAGCTCCCACCCCAGTTCTCACCCCAGTTCCCACCCCAGTTCCCACCTCAGTTCCCACTCCAGTTCCCCCACAGTTCCCCTCCCAGCTCCCCTCCCAGTTCCCACCTCATTTCCCACCTCATTTCCCACCTCAGTTCTCCCCCAGTTCCCACCCCAGTTCCCCCCCAGTTCCCCTCCCAGTTCCCATCCCAGTTCCCCCCCAGTTCCCCTCCCATCGCCCCTCGCAGCTCCCAGCCCCATTCCCCCTCTGGGATCAGGAGCAGTGCCCCCAGGTGTCCCATCCCGTCCCCTCTCCCGCAGTGTCTGGGTGTGTGACGGTGACATCCCAGGCGCTGTCACCGTCCCTGTTCCCACATCCACCCCAGCCCCATTCCGCGCCGGCAGTGCCCCCGTGCCCCCTGCCCGGTACCCGGGGGTGCCCCAGGCCGATGGTGACGTCCCAGGAGCCGTCGGTGGCCGTGGCCAGGCTGTACCGGCAGTGCCCCGCCAGGCCGAAGTGCCGCCCGTCGAAGGTGCGGAAGCGCGACCCGGCCCAGGCCTGGCACGCGGCCGGGGGGCTGCGGTGGCGCGGGGAGCCCCCGTCCCCGCCCAGGGGCAGGCGGGTGCAGGGCAGGCAGGGCCCCTCGGCGTCCCCGCGGCGCCAGCTGTGTCCCCAGGGGTGCTGGCAGCACTCGGCGCGGCTCATGGCGCTGCCGTTGCGGCCGCCGGCGCTGTCCTGGCACTGCCACCCGCTGAAGCAGCGGCCCAGGGAGCCGGGGCCTGCGGAGGGGACAGCGCGTGACACGAGGGGTGGCACACAGCCCAGCGCCCACCCAGCACCCGGGGGGAACGGCACAGTGAGGGTGTCACACCGGGAGTGACGTGGGGGAATGGCACATCCCCGCTCCCATCCTGGCTCCTGTTCCCATCCCAGCACCAGTCCCAGCTCCCAGTTCCCATCCCAGATCCCATCCTGGCACACAGCACTGCTCCCAGCACCCACTGGGAATGGCACGGTGGGACTGGCACGGTGGGACTGGCACTGTGGGAATGGCGCCCATCCCAGCTCCCGGTGGGAACGGCGCAGCAGGGATGTCCCCGGGTGCCACCCCCGTGTCCCCCTCACCCTCGGTGCAGCGGGCGCCGCTCCAGCCGGGACAGCAGGCACGCTCCGTGCGGTTCCGGACCACTGGCTGCATCTCCGGGGGGCTGCGGGGACACGCCAGTGTCACCCGGCGTCCCCGGCGCCCGCCGGTGCCACAGCCCGCCGGCTCACCGGTAGATGTAGCAGAGGGCGGGGCCGGTGTCCCCGGGGGAATTCCCGCGCTCCCGGCGCGTGCGGTCCCGGTCCAGGCGCCACCCGGCCAGGCTGTACTGGTACAAACTGGGACACGGCACCGCGGCCTCGCGCCGCGGCGTCACCTCCTCCTGCTCCGGCACCGGCACCGTCCGCTCGCACCAGCGCCTGCGGGCAGCCACGGCGTCCGCCCGGGACCGGCCCGGGACCGGCCCGGGATCCATCCGGGACCCGCCCGGGATCCGCTCGGGATCCATCCGGGACCCAGCTCAATCCCAGCTCCCGTCTGGCACCCCATCCATCCCCACCCCGGGCACACATCCCAGCTCCCAGCCTCCATGTGAGCACCCACCAGGGATCCATCCTGGCTTCTGGCACCGATTCCAGCTCCCATCCCAGCTCCCACCCAGCTCCTATCCCAGTTCCCATCCAGTTCCCATCCCAGTTCCCATCGCAGCTCCCATCCCTGCTCCTGTCTCCCATTCCTGCCTCCCAACCTCCATTCCCAGCTCCATTCCCCTGATCTCCATTTTGCACCCTTAGTTCCCAGTTCTCTTTCCCAGCTCCCAAACCCATTCCCCATTCCCCATCCCCCATTCCCATTCCCCATCCCCCATTCCCATTCCCCATTCTCATCCCCGCTCCCACCTCAGTTCCCATTCCTGCTCCTGTCTCCCACTCCTGCCTCCCAACCTCCATTCCCAGCTCCATTCCCCTGATCTCCATTTTGCACCCTTAGTTCCCAGTTCTCTCTCCCAGCTCCCAAACCCATTCCCCATTCCCCATCCCCCATTCCCATTCCCCATTCCTATTCCCAGTTTCCCATCCCCATTCCCCTCACCCGTCCCCGTCCCCGCTCCTCACCCCGTGGCTGCCCCCACGGCTGTCACCCAGAGCACGGCGATGGCCGCCACCCCCCCGGCGACCCCCGGCCCCACCGCGGCCATGCCGGATCCCGGTGTCCTGGAAAAGGGGGATCCCGGTGACTCCGTGTCACGGTTCCCGCGGGGTCACCCCAGTGCCACCCCCGGTGCCACTCACCGGCCCAGCGCTGGCACTGCCCAGCGGCTCCGGCATTTATGGGAAGTCCCCAGCAGTGCCACCAGCTGAGGTGACGCCGATTGGGCGCAGCTGGCGCCTGGGGGGGCACGGTGACATCTGGGCCACCTCTCCCCGTTTCCTGGGAGAGGGTAATGGCACGGGACATCCGGGATCCGCCACGGGGACACGGATGTGGCAGGACAGCGGGCCCCGGCCACGCTCAGCCCCCGTGTCCCCACGTCCCTGTCGCGTGTCCCCTTGTGTCCTGCCTGTGTCCCCTGTACCCCCCGTGTCGCCACGTCCCTGTCCTGTGTCCCCTCACGTCTCCCGTGTCCTCCCAGCCCCGTGTCCCCCCACAGCCCGCTGCTGTGTTCTCCCATGTCCCCCCGCACCGTGTCCTCCGTGTCCCCCCGTGCCCTCCGTGTTCCCCCGTGCCCTCGGTGTCCCCCCTGTGTCCCCGTTTCTATCCCGTGTCTTTGCCCATTGTTCCCCCCATGTCTCCCTGAGTGTCCCCAAGTCCCCCGGTGTCCTCATGTTCCTGTCCCGTGTCCCCTATGTCCCTATCCCGTGTCCCCATGCCCCCCCCATGCTGCCCCCGACCCAGCCGTGTCCGTGTCTCCTCCGAGGGGGACACCCGGTGCGGCACTGGGGTGCAGGATACGGGTGACACGGGGCACACGGGGGGCGCGAACACGGGGACACAGGGGGTGCGGGCACGGGCACACGGGCACACGGGGGGCGCGGACACGGGGACACGGGCACACGAGTTGGGTGGGGGGACGGGGGGGCCCAGGGCGGACGGAGAACGGGGGTGGGGTGGCCCTGAGCTCCTGGGGGACCGGGACGGGGACGCCGCTCCACGAGAGCCCCGCAGAACACCCCCGAGCCCCGCGGAATCCCACGAGACCCCCCCGGATCCCCGCCTGACCCCCCTGGATTGCCCCCGCGCCCCTCCAGACCCCCCCGGACCCAGCAGGCAGGGGAGGGTCCGCCCCCACCGTGCCCTGGGGACGTGCCCGGGGGTCCCGGGGATCCCAAAGCCCCCGGGCGTGCAGGGGGTCCCTAGCTCGGGTCTGGGGGCGCTCACCCCGTGCCATCCCCCCCCGCAGGTCCCCCCGTGGCCAGGACGGAGCTGGAGGAGATGGAAGCCCCGGGATGCACCGGCTCAGGTGGGGACTGGGGGTTCCGGGGGGGCTCGGTGGGGCCCGCGGGGTCCCGGGGTGCTGGGGGCCCCCCCGAGCCGGGGAGGGACCTGTCTGTGCCGCTTTGTCCCCCCAGAGTGGCTGGTGGTCCCCAAGGCGGAGGTGACTCCCGAGGACGGCAGGGATGACCCGGGGGACGCAGGGCTCCACGGCTCAGGTGAGGGACAGTCACAGCGGCAGTGCCAGGCGGTCACTGTCACCCTGTCCTGCGGCTGGGGGCCGCGCTGGGTCCCTGGGGGACGGTCACCGTGTCCCCGGGGCCAGCGACTGTGCCAGGTCCTTGAAGTGACGCTCAGCACGTCCCTGGTGCCGTTGGCCTTGGTGGTCACCGTGTGCCAGCGGCAGCTGCGTGCCCTTGGTGACAGTTCCCGTGTGCCGGGGCGCCCCGGCGTTGGCACGTCCCCTCCCATGTCCCTGCAGGGCAGTGGCTGGTGCGGAAGGTGAAGGTGGAGGAGGAGGAGGAGGCCGAGGCCTGGGCGGCCGCGGCCGGCGCTGGAGCCCCGCTGGCCCTGCCCGGTGCCTTCCCCGGCGGCTGCAAGGCGGAGGAGCCGTGCCCGGAGGAGCCGGGCTACGGGGTGCTGCCAGCCTGGGCCCCCGGCGGCATCGGCCTCGCGGCGGGCACCGGGACGAGCCCCTGCTCGCAGCCCGGCGCGCGGCCCTTCTGCTGCCCGCAGTGCGGCAAGGCCTTCGGCAAGAAGGCGCACCTGACGCGGCACCTGCGCGTGCACACGGGCGAGCGGCCCTTCCCGTGCCCGCACTGCGGCCGCCGCTTCCGCCAGCGCATCCACCTGCGCTCGCACCTGCGCACGCACACCGGCGAGCGGCCCTACCCCTGCCCGCGCTGCGCCCGCCGCTTCCGCAAGAAGACGCACCTGGACCGGCACCTGCGCACGCACACCGGCGAGCGCCCGCACCCCTGCCCGCGCTGCGCCCGCCGCTTTGCCCACCCGTGTC